GAATGGGTGCTGGGAGGGCGCGCCCAAGCTCGGCCTTAGGAACTAGGTGCCCCGGCCCAACGCGGACGCACTGCCCGGGGCCCCTAGGGCGGCACCGGGCACCCACCGCTTGGCTGCCCCGGCGCTTGATGTTGCCGTGAGCTGTCTACCAAGCCCAGCGGCGTCAGGGGGACAGCTGCCCTCCGAATGCTGATCCCACAGGAATAGGTGCTGCCCCACGGCCGGCAGGGGCAGGTGACTGGCTGGGCAAAGACCGAAAACTCTAAGCTTTTGCAAATCTCTCATTTGAGCATTAACGATCGCAGATCTGTGCTTGAGGATGTGTAGGGTGTGGCAAAATGTTGGTCCGAGTGTGCAGAGCTCTAGTTGAAGTTGCGTGTGTGTGTTAAAAACACGTTTGAGGATTTATTCTGAATGATCAGTTATGCAAATAAAAACACTAAAATGCATCAACTCTGAGGATTAGGAGCTCAATACCAGGGAATCGGGGACACATAGGTTGAGGCTGTGACAGGTTGCAGGCTAGCCCTGAAAGCTAGTGATTCCTGTACCAGATACTGTGGAATATTTGTAAAGTGACTCCTGGGAGTTGGGTTGCTGGACAATGGGGACAGTTGGTCTTCCGTGACCCAGTCTGTTTCTAGTATTCTGGGAAAGAAATAGAAGGCAGGCTCAGTTAATTCTGACAATAGTAGTAACAACAATAATTAAATGATAGCAATAAAAATTGACAACTTGGGCACAGAACATGAGAAAAAAAATTTTTCACCCAACTTCCAAAACTCTGACTCACTTGTCTCAAGTTTCTAACATTCATCTTTCATACTAGGGAATTCTGTTTCCATGAAAGTTAAATTTAATAATAAAAATGTATTTTCCCACAATGGTCATTGTGGAAAAGACATTGACTTTGAATCTTTAGGGTTTCTCCTTTCTTTGATGGTTGTGCCTCATGCTTCATCTTTGGGAGATTGGAGCTGCTTCCTAAATTCATTATGTTGGGGGGTTACATTTAGAATCAGCACATTTGATGACAGTCCTTGGATGTTCTGAGACCATGGTAACTGATCTAGAAGATAGCCTCTCCTTTGGAACACAGGCTCCTGCTGGGAACAGCTAGGTAACATTATGTCTCGTGCCTAAACTGGTTCTGCTCATTAAATCCTGAGTGGGTAGCCTGCCAGATAGCGCTTGCTGCAGGCTTACAATTTGCTGCTGACTCAGTATCATGTGTTCTATCTTGACTGATGATCAGCTTTTCCATGGGGGGAAAAATCAGTAACTGAGAGGCACAAAGTAACCTTACCTTTCTTGATGCTGAGGAAGTATGAGAAAGAAATCCTAGTGAAGGACCCGTTTCCTTTATTCCAACTCATTCTCACCGACTTTGGCTTTGGAAAGTGGACTTTCCTCCAGTCCTGCCCAGCCTTTGAGCGCGGACAGGAAGTAGACGCCCCGCCTGTGTTCTGAGAGAAGTGCCTTGGGGTTCTGAGGAAATACACTCACAATCGACTTCCCTTACGGCTTGTGTAAAAGTCAGGGCCCTCTGTGAGCAGAACTTTCAGAAGAGCTCCTGGGAGCCCAAGCAACTGGATTAATTGCTAGGTGAGCCTAGAATAACATAGTAGTGTGGGCACTGCTGTTTATTAAAGAGAAAAGCTACAATTAACAGACGGTCAGCCTTCAGACTCATGTTTAAATTCCTTATTCCAAACCAAACTGAAGCACTTCCTGCAGGATTTTCCAAAAGTGAAGACTCCAGCAGTATTTCCCATCCTTTTTTTGTTTGTCTTCAACGGAGTCTTTCTCTTCTGACTCTTCAAAATTCTCTGATTCTGGAAATGCCAGAATGGAGTTCACATATTATAGATTCAGTTGCATGGGGAGAGTTTTCTTACATTTGATTGTCTCTCTCGTTAAAACTACTCATCTAAGAAAAAGAAATAAATTTTCCAGGCAAGTAAGGATGGTATTTATCTAAATAGATGTTTTTTTATTGTTGTATTTATTTATTTATCTATCTATTTTAAGTTCTAAGGTTGCTGACCTTGATTTCAAAAGAACATTGGTTGCCCTGGCCGATTTGGCTCAGTGGATAGAGCATTGGCCCACAAACTGAATGGTAGCAGGTTCAATTCCAGTGAACACACACTTCAGTTGTAGGCTGGATCCCCAGGCCCGTTGGTGCAGGAGGCAACCAGTTAATGTGTCTCTCTCCTCTTCCCTTTCTCTCTCTCTCTCTCTCTCTCTCTCTCTCTTTCTCTCTCTCTCTCAAAATCAATAGAAAAAATATCCTCAGGTGAGGATTAACAACAAAAAGGATCATTGGTTATAACCCTTTTCAAAAAAAAGAGATCTGATGGTTATGAGTTGACAAAATCAAAATAGCATACACCCAATTTTTGGAAAAGTACACGTTGTTGGTTTAAATGTGTTTATAATCAGCCCAGTGACTGTGCACAATGGCATTCTTGTGTTCAATATCATTGCACACTGAGTCACCCATGATCAAAAGCATGATCTCTTTTTAAATTCGTTTACAACCTCAGCATGTTATGTAGCTCTGAATGAAGAAGCTACATCATTTCTAAATGAAGTAATTAACACTTTCAAATTCCAGTGTGTGTGGT